GCGGAGGGCCAGCTGCAGGTGGCGCGGGATGATGCGCGTCTTCTTGTTGTCGCGCGCCGCGTTGCCCGCCAGCTCCAGGATCTCGGCCGTCAGGTCCTCCAGCACGGCCGCCAGGTACACGGGCGCGCCGGCGCCCACCCGCTCGGCGTAGTTGCCCTTGCGGAGCAAGGCGGTGCAGCGGCCCACGGGGAACTGCAGCCCGGCCCGCGACGAGCGCGTCTTGGCCTTGGCGCGCGCCTTGCCGCCCTGCTTCCCGCGTCCGGACATGACTACTTGAGAAGGAAACAAGCCTTTCTCGAGAAGAAATGAGCAGAATGGAGCCAAAGCGGAGAGCAAGGGACGTATTTATACTAAATGGAGGTAGGCTGTATGCAGTTTTCTCATTGGTTACTTGCCTCGAGTCAAGTAACCAATGGAAAAATAGAATGTACATCCTCGTTTGCATAGAGGGCAAAGCTTTTTTTTTTTTCCCCCTCCTATTTAATCCAGTCTGAGGAAACTTTCATGCTAATAATCGGATCAATTTGATTTCTTTTAAATACTGTTCTTAAACGCAAGCAGAAGCCTGAGCGATTGTCCTCATTGTCTTGACTTTTGGCTCGTGGTCTTTTTCCAGGATTGTGACTTCTGATTTGGGGAAGAAAGAAACGCAGAGCCATTTCCAAATAGATAATATTTAAGAGGTAGATCTTCATTGCTGGATAAAAGGAGGGAAAGATGAATTAACTCTTTGTGGAGCCCTATGTTAAAAAACGATGTGCACAACGAAACCTATCAGGAGGAATGGGAAGCTGCAAGCTGACCTTCCGCTTCGGTCATGTTTCCTGTACGGGGCCTGTAGGGACCACCTCGAAGGTTTATAGAATGAGCGCTCTCATCTTAGAGACCGCGACACCAAGAGACCCAGGCTGGTTGTTTACCCTGTCAGTGGTGACACCGAGTTAACCAGAGGAAGGACTCTGCCCTCCGGCTGGAAAAGCCTTGTCATTCCCTTCCCAACGCCGTTCCCGACCCTCTCGCCCTATTTTTCTCTCTTGGCTGCGCCACACAGGATTCTAGTTATTTCAGAAAACTCCTCCATCATCTTCCACATCCCACTAAACCCCTGTGTTTACAACATTGAAATACGTATGTGGTGTTTTTGTTTGTTTGTTTAAATCACCTAGCATATGGTATTTTTGCTATAGTTGCCCAAATGGGCTAAGAAACATTGTTGTTGTTGTTTTTTTAATTATTTTTTAAAAGTGAAGGTCAATTGATAAAGGGCAGTTACCTACTTCCCTACAATGGGGTGCAGTGTTAAAAAGGATGGTCAGGAATAACCATCCTTAATTTAAAAGAATAACAAAATTATGATCTTCCTGACATGATACTTTTATATCTGTCTGTGTAGACCTGCACAAAGGAAATTTCTGGAAGACTGGTGGCCAAAATGTCCTGGACGATGAAGTTGCAAATGATTCTTATTTATTTTAAATCATTTCAGAGGTTGCTTTTAAATAATGAGCAGGTTTTATTTTTCAAGGAAGTTCAAAAAACTTATTTCGATGTATGCATTATTTAATGAAAAAATAAAAAGCCAAGAAAAACACGTTGACTGTTGCTGAGATGCTGAAGACAGAATTGAGAGGTCCAGGTCCTGTCGCCTGCCAAGAAGCAGGGGCCAGCGCGTTCATGTGTTCCAATTGTGCCTTCTTCCCCGTCATGAGCAGTCTCTGGACCTCCCATCACCTGTCTCTTTGTGGACTTTTCATCTTTTTTCAGAATTCTCAGTTGACCACCCTCCAAATTACAGTTCTCCCAAGCCCCCTACATCTGGTTCTGGGCACCCATGGCAGTGCCCTAATTCCCTCCCTTTGCAAATCCAGTTCTTTGCAAATTCACTGTTTCTGTCTTCAGTTCATCTTTATTGGATAGGAATACAAGAAAAATTTCAAGATGAAGAATTGGGGATGTATTCCAAGTTATTTTCTCTGCTTTGTAAGTCAGAGACTGCGGCTCTGAAAAAAAAAAAAAAAGGTAGGTGTTTGTTAGGGAAGAGTGTGTGTAAATCCTTCTTTTAGTTAGGACGAGGGTTCCAAGGTCTGGGTGGTTCTTGCTAAATGCTCTTTCTGCTAAATGTTAAAACGTAACAATATTTTGCAGACTCAGCTGTAACCTGGATGAGTTTGACCTGGAACTCAACAGGGTAAATTTAGCAGACAGCTAAGAGGAAATCAGCATGTAATTAACCGATGGCTAAGCCTGGACTCCCGGAGACAGAGTTTGGATGTGAATCTCGTCTCCTTCAGTTGCTGCAAGTAAATGAAACTACCTAAGAACAACCACATCTCCCTCTGGAATGAAAACCCCAAGCGGTGAGCCCCTTGAGTTCAGCAACAGCTCTACTATGTCTCTTAAGTTCACGGGCTTGCCCACTGGCCCTGCTGTGTCCAAAGTTGGTGCCTGGTCAGAATCAACTAGGGAAATTTATGCATTTTTTTTCCTAGCTTCTCACTACTCCCCACTAGTGATCCGGGGTCTACCACGGAGTCTAGGCACCTGATTTTTCCCCTTAATTTCTCATTCACTTGTTAAAGATCATCCAAGTGTCAGAACAGATGGCAAAAAAATCGAGCTTAGAGATTGGGAGGACTGGTTTTTGGTTTGAGGTTGTCAAAGGTATAGTTTTGAGTAAAATATCCAATATTAGGAAGGAATGAGAGAGAGGGGGAAAGGAAGGTAGAAAGCAAGGGGTCTGGCAAAGTTACACAGCACAAGATGGGGAGAAAATAATCTGTATTCAGGAGATCGTTTCGAAAGGTGGAAGAAATAATATTACTATTGAGATCTTACCCTTCAGGGAAAGAACACAATGGATAGTGATTCTTACACTGTAACCTGAGTTTACAGAGTTTTTTGGCGGGGGGGGTAGGAGGTGGAGGATGTGTTTTTGCAATCTGAGAAACATAAATTATTAACTTTTAAGGAAAACATCTTTTCCACAACTGTATTTTGCATATGATGGGGTACGAACTGTTTCTGTTTCT